AATTTCAAATTAGAAAGCAACCTGAAGCCAATCTACTTTGGCACACACAAACTGAATTAGAGATAAACATCAGAAACATCCCTTTTGATCAGCCCCTAAATCTTTTTAAAGGGTTGAACATAAACCTTCTAAATAAACACACCCATATACACACAAAGCCCCCTCCACAACTGCTACATAACTCATAACTACAATGAAGAATTTTAAGAAATACAAGTTCTCACGGTACAAGCTAGAATACACAAGTCAGCTTAAGTATTAAATAAGAGCAAACCTCTGAACTTTCAGATATACTGGAAGCACTGTAAATAGTACTAAACCTTACTACTGAGTGCTCCAGAATACATTCTTAGAATGCACATTCAGCAAGAACATTACTACATGACAAGTACAAAGAAACCCTTCCAATTAGCTATTGCTGGTGATGGAAATGAACAGGCCAAAGGAACCTCAGATATTCCCACTACAGTTATATAAAACAGAAAGAAGTGTTGGTGCAAATGTGTGACAAAGGAGTCCCACTTCAAACATTCCAGTGAAACATTCTGAAAGGTTTTGTGATCCCACAGAATAAAACCTGAAACATTTTAAGTGCTCTACCAGAGGGAACAACGGGAGCTTAAAACAAGCCTCTTATTTTTCATCATAGGGTCATAAAAGTAGGTGAGACCGCAGTCCATGCTGACTACTGTCTACAGCTCAAACTATAACTACATTGACTAAAGGATTTTTTTTTAAAGGACTGTAAATATTTAAACATTCCTAGAGTAAACAAGCTAGGCATGCTTTTTTGCAGCCTGTCTGCCCAAACTATCACGGAAATAAGTCCAACAAAAAGACTGCACAATAGAGTCATTTCAGCACAGCCCCTACACAACTGAACAATGATAAAACACTCTTCCATGGCTGCAACCTTCTTCCTAATGCATATGGTCACTGTACAATTTCTGCATTCGGCAACCTGTCTTCAAACCTCAGACAAAGCAACATACCTCAAATGTCTGAAAGCTCACCAGCCCAGAAACCCTTTCTGTAAAGCACAGTGCATACTTTTGCATTTAACAACCTACCTGAAAAAGACATAACATACATAGAACACACAAGGACTAGAACATTACATACAAGCCATGACCTCTAACTTCCCTGTTCCAAAGACCTCAAAAACTTACCTACCGCACGCAGTTAATTCACTCCCCCTCATACTGCCAACCTTTCTCCCCCCAGCCACATTTAAATGGTAGCAGCAGCAGCAGCAGCAGGGAGAGAACTTATGTCTGCTATTTTATTGGCTAATATGCTCTTAAAAGTCTCCATGGCTTAGAGGGATTTATAAAAGAGAAGCGAACTGCAAGCTATAGGAACAGTCCAAGCAATATAGAACAATATACCCCATTTTTTATCTGAACTCAGGACAAAATTCCAAAACATGGTTGTTTTGTCTTGGAACTCTCAAAACAGCTGTTAAGAGCTCAGAATCCTTAATTCACACAATGCATCTTATCGGCACTAGAGGTACTACATTTTCCTCAGATCTTTTATGTAAGTGTAATCCAAATGAAAACTTGCAGCATACAAACAATATACATCTGTATGTATATTTCCTTTATCATGCTGATCTTCAACCATCAGCCAAAAAGCCCAGAGGTTTTCTGAGCCAGTCAATCCTAACACATAAATACAAAAAAAAAAAAAAAACCCCACAAAAATAATGAAAGTCAAAGCCTTAAATTCCATCCACTAGCAACTGATTGCTACATTATTAAAGGGATGCAACAAAATTACTTGTTCATAGCAAAGGCAGCAGCTTAAGACAAAAGGATTTGAGAACCACTAAGGATAGGAGATAGACATTTCCTCAGTACCCCATCAAATCTTTGTCCAGAAGCTCACTAATGATTTTCCCAACTTAGGACCACCATAGACAAACAATGCTAAGAGCAAGGAGTGCTTTATATATCCCTCCCACCTACACACACACACATACACACAGCATTTATAGTGCTTGTTTAAGTCACAAAATGTTTCCCTCATTTTTAAACCTGAACAAATGACATAAAACTGGAAATGGAAAAAGAAACTCTTTAGAATGGTCAGAACACATTTACGTGTGTGTGTGTGGGGGGGGGGGGGGGTTGGCCTTAGATCATTCTACATCTATACATTTGAATACTATCTTTCTAAGGATGTCAACCTCAAATGTCAGCTTTGCCTGAAACGATGCCTTCCCAATGTGCTGGATTACATCAATATAGACTGACTATTCTTCTTTTCAAAGTGTTAAACTTGTTCACTTTTCAAGTGCAAGCAAAAGCAACTTCCCAAGAATCCAAACATGGGGCCAGACTTAACTCATAGCAAGCCGATTTCTTGTCTAAATTCCTACATCCCACTGTACAGTTCAAAGGGGAGAATCTTTTGGCCAGCTGGAACTTGCACAAACAGGAGCGATGGCTGTACAATCGAGCATTGCAACATTTTCACCACTTCCAGACAGTATATCAGTGTGAGACCAGTAATATAACGCTTGACAAAATACCTGAAATAGACAGCTATAGTTGTATGAAAACAGAACAGATTCATTTACAAGCATAATTCCACAGAGGCAATAATGTTTACTAGGGCATTCTCAGTTCTACAACTGCACTTCTTAAATTTGCAGAACAAACATTGGTTTCAAATTCAGAGCATCATAATCTGAGTGATGTGGAGGGAAGAGGGACTACCAACAATCTTGACTAGCTTCTCCCAGTTATGCTAACATCAATGCTCATTTCCATGTTTATTTGCTGGGGTTACTTTGTTACTCAAGACTAAGTACTTGAGAAGCGTACAAATGAACTATGTCAAGTTCTCCTTCATTAAGCTCACAGATTATCACTGCTCTTTAAAACATACAGACTTGCAAAAAGAAGCAGATTAGTGAACACTTTTAAAAATCAAAGAGCAAAGATAGAGCAGAAATGCCATAATGAAGTACATATCCTGGCAGTTTTGAATACAATAGTCTGTATAAGTCAGTATGACGTGTACTTGACAAAAGTGAGGCAAAAGGTCTTCCAAGAACACATATCACAACATACCAGTCACTGCTTACTATGCTAATACATGGAATACTAGGAGTGGGGGATCTTTTAGTTCCAGGTGTCTGGAATAAGATTTGGAATAACAGTTAAATATTAACACACTCCCACAAATACACACACACACGTATATAATGTTATGTTCTTCTGCAAAGGAAGATCAACTACTACTTGCCAATGTATAGTAGTTTATTGTTGTGTGAGGTTTTTGTTTTTGTTTTTTTGGGGGGTGCCTTCGGGTCAGTGTTGACTCCTGGTGACTGCCTGGACAAGTCCCTGCAATTTCCTCGGCAAAATTTCAGGAGTGGTTTGCCAATGCTTCCTTCCTAGGATGAGAGAGAGTGACTGGCCCAAAGTCATCCAAGTGGCTTTGTGCCTAAAGCAGGACTAAACTCACGGGTCTCCCAGTTTCTAGTCTGGTTCCTTAACCATTACACCGAACTGTTAGCCAATATGAAAAATGGTGCATTGACCTCAGAGTTAATACAGGGTTTTCTTAACCATGGTTTACTGAATAATGCCTATGTTCACACCACACATTGTAAGCAATGGTTATAACCGCAATGGCTGGATATATACCACCCACTAAACCAAACCCAAGGATTCTATATTATTGCACTGTGTGATGTGTGAATTCCACCAATACAAAGTCTTCGAAAACCCATGACAGTTACGGATCAGGAGTACAGACTTGTACAATTATTTCTCTTGAACAGATCAAAAGCACTTCAGATCTCAGTTTAGATGGAGGAATGCTAGAAAAGGAATCTGCCAAACATCATGCTGGCATAAGTATTCTTTAACAAGTTGCAAAACATATGTTTGTAGCCTGAAGACGCCAATAAAAAGGGCTATTTCAACAAAGATATACTTCAGAGAACTGGATTACTGTAAATGGCACTGCCATTTGAAAAGTTGGTCAGCATCATAGGGGGAAGCCAAGTGTGCTAGTCACATTCCAAATTTCTTTTTTATAACAATGGTATATCTACACATACACAGAGAAATGAGGCTACAAACTGGAAAAAAAGGGGGGGGGGAGGGCCCAAGCTTTCCATTTCCCTGATACTTTATAGGCACAGGAACATTGCAAACCAAGCCAGGCAGGTGTTGTGTAACAAGGCTTGCTTCCTTCTAATCCAATGATCCATCATCTTTCCATTCTGTACTGCAGACTTTCCAAAACAAACCCCTCTTCCTACAAGAGTTACAGCATAGAGGGGCGGGCTTACACTTGGCAGGGTAATGAGTAACATCTGTAACCACAGTTGCCCTGTGGGCATTCCTGCCTTTGATGCTCCTGAAGACTGTAGCCAGCGAGGGGAGGGAGCCAAGGAAAGTTTACAGATTCTCTTTCCCCTCCTCGCAGCCTCCCCAGCCCCGCTCCAGGAGAGGCGGCCTCCCTGAAGCGATTAAAAGATGCACCTCTTCCCCCACCCCGCCGCTTCCATCTCTTCATCTCCCAAGTTTTCCAAGCCGCCGCTGGAAGCAGGACACACAGATGCAGCCTTCGCTTACGAGCTTTTCTTTCTTTCTTTCTTTCTTTCTTTTTTTTTTGCTCGGAGAACTGTAAAGGCACGTCCTAAACGCCCATGTCTAAGAGCAGATTTCCGAACAACGCACACGCATTCCCTGGTTTCGAATCGCTGCATGCTTTAAGACAAAATGCAGATTTAAAAAGGGTTGCCTGTCAGGAAAAGAAAGGTGGGCGGAGGAGGCAAATTTGAGACCAAGGTTAAACAGCAAAAATAGCAACCGTCTCCCACCCGCTTGGAAAAGCAGGTTTCGACCCGAGGAGGAAGGGGGAAGAAGCACGCCTTTTAGACCCCGAGGGGAGAGAAAGCTGTCGAACATTTGGGGGCGGGGGGGGGAGATGGCGGCCAAGGGGGCGACTTCTCTCCGAGGCAGGGATTCACTCACCTCCTGGCACTACAGACAA